ATATGGGACTCATTTTCCTTCCTTGTAAACCTTTACTGAGCCTTCCAAACGATCGGAAAGGACAGATTGAGCACAATTTAATGCTTCTGCAAGTTGCTTTTGCGTTTGACATTGTCCACCAATGTCTGCAATTCTTCGTCTTCGAATACTCTTGGCCGTCCAGAACGCTCTTCGTCCTCCACATAAAAATCACCACTTTTAAAGCGTCGAAACCATTCTCTGCATGCATTTATCGGAAGGAGCATTATCATCATAAACTTCTACAAGCATTCGATGAACTCCAGCCGCAGTTTTCTTCCAATTGAAGCAAAAAAGATTAACACTTCGCGCAAATGACACTTATTTGGCTCAAATATCGACATTTTCGATGTAGTAAAAAACAATGTTATTGATACGTAAACGTATACCTTTATGTACTGAATGTTATTGACAGATGTCAAAGTAAACTATTAAGCTTCGTTTAGACATTAGAGGTTAACGACAGTTCTAGCTAGAGCTACTAGGTGCGCAACTAAGTTTCCGGGTTTCACACATGGATGACGCTAACGACACATGTAGTCGACATACATGTCTGAAGTTGTGTTTTTTTTATAGCTTGGACATCTGTTAACAATAACCAGTTGTAATACCAACACATATCGCAATGCAAAAATATTTTTTCTAACAACGAAGATGTCGAGTTTTGTGCCAAGTAAACAGCATTTGCGGGAAGCTTTGCTTTTCTGCTTCAACTTGAAAAAAGAGTGCAGCTGAAGCACGTCGTTTGCTTGAGGAGGCCTACGGCGAACATGCACCATCGAAAATTACCTGTGAAGATTGGTTTAAACGCTTCAGAAGTGGCGATTTCGCGACACTAAGGATAAGGAGCGCTCCGGAAGACCAAAAACAATTGAGGACGCCGACCTGCAAGCGTTATTGGATGAAGATGATACGCAAACACAAGATCAACTTGCGGAGGCATTAAACACGACTCGCCAAGGTATTTCCAAACGTTTACATGCCATGGGAAAAATTCAAAAGGAAGGAAAATGGGTGCTGCATGAGTTGACTGAAAAACAGATGGAAAATCGAAGAGCCACTTCCGAAATTTTGCTTTTGCGGCATGAAAGAAAGAGTTTCCTGCATCGAATTGTTACCGGCGATGAGAAGTGGATATATTTCGAGAATCTCAAACGCAAAAAATCGTGGCTTTCACCTGGCGAAGCATCAACATCGACGGCACGGCCAAATCGCTTCGGAAAGAAGACAATGCTCTGCGTTTGGTGGGACCAGAAAGTAATCGTGTACTATGAGCTGCTGAAATAAGCCGGGCGAAACTGTCAATGGGCATCGCTACCGACAACAACTGATCAATTTGAACCATGCATCGCTCGAAAAACGGCCAGAATGGGACACGAGACACGAACGAGTGATATTGCAGCACGACAACGCTCTCCGTGCCGTCGCACTTCCATCGTCCAGGACACCATCAAAACGCTGAAATGGGATCTGCTAGCGCACCCGCCGTATTCGCCAGACCTGGCCCCTTCCGATTATCACTTGTTCCGGTCGATGGCGCATGGCTTGGCTGGGCAACACTTGGCCAATTTCGAAGAAGTGCAAAATTGGTTGGTTTCGGTCCAAAGACGCGTCGTTTTATCGTCGCGGTATTCATGTATTGCCAGAGAGATGGCAGAAACGTGTAGCTAGCGAGGGACGATACTTGGAATGAACCATTTTTTGCACTTCTCTTGAAATTTTTCATTTTTCATTGATCAAAAAAACCCGGAAACTTGGTTGCGCACCTAGTACTTGCCGCTAGATGGACGGAACTTTCCGATTTACCTAATAGTTCCAACGCGTCGAGCTTGAGATTTCTAAAGTTCTACGGCAAAACGACGTCTCGGGACAGTGATAGTGACAGTTTCGTGACGGTGTTCGACGGGAAGCGGCGGTTGAAGCGGAGATTAACGAATCGATGCTCGACGAGAACCCGATCGCGGGGTGCGCCGAGCGCCGAAGGCTTCCGGCGCGGATCCGCTTTACGAAAGAGGAGGCCGCTGCAGAAGAGAAGGTAGCGTGTCAAAGTCGAGAGGGTGACATTGGAGAATTTATCTGCCACCTCAGCAATGCAGGAATGTGTTAGCGAGCACATCTGGTATTTAGTAAGTTGTATTTCACCGCTCCACCCACATGCGTCATGACAAAACGGAGAAAGTGAATAATGTTATATGTTCACGATGTAACTATTATCGGTGTGACCTTTAATTAATGTGACCTTTTTTAACGCAAATGTTTTTTTAATTGAATGCAACTTTTAGCGCAGTCTCCGTCATCAGCAATGCGATCAGCATCGCGAACGCATCAATTTTCAACATTCCTACAGAACGGCGAAATAATAAATGGATTATATGTGCAAATGTACATGTGGTCACTATAAATAGATATATGAAATTGCGTTCAATTATATTACTCGCGCATTTTAATGTTAGGTTAATAAAGTTAATTACCACTTGCATTAAGTTTCTGCGTGTATGAAATGAGGAAGCGAGAGGAAGCATGTGGAAATCGAGTTGAAAAATGCATCGACGCGCTCCTGACGTGGATGTTGATACACACACACACACACACACACACTCACACACTCACACGTGCTGCTTCAAAGATAAAAGTAAATATAATGTAACTCCTCCCACGTGTACCGTGATAAAACGGAGGAGGCCGAGCTGTATAATATTTTTAAGAGCTGCAATAGAATTTTTATAACCCCAAGTGATGTAAAAAGGAAGTTCCTACGTCAGTTGTGTTATACGAATCATCTCGCTGGAGCGCACGGTTGTGCACGGTCGTATCGCGCGAAATTGCAGACCTGATAAATTTATTCATCAGCCAACGCAACAGCGACTCGACCGCCGGAAACAGGGAGAACACTCATATCAGCAAAATCGTAATTATATGTGTATATGACGATTGCATTTTTATTGATGTCTATTCTTATCGCTTTGACAACTGCGGCTGTCATAGATGGTCCTCCAGTCGTGTCGTGTCCAGGCGGTATGGACAAAGATATAGTATATACATGAAACGTGCGCCAATTTCTGAGAAAAAGAAAAACGCGTATTGCGTGCATGTGTATAAACTTTCATAGATCCGCATTTTTCGGTCTCGTAATCTTTGTTCTTCATGATGAGACACCAGTGCGTACATTAATAATTTCAAAATTAATATTAAAAGTAATATTATATATGGGACGTTCCATGTCAAGTGGGACAAGTGTCTAGGCAAAATTCATGAAGTCAAAATAAGACGCTTGAGGACTTAAACTTTCCGTTTTTATGTGTAGTTTAAGAAAAAACGTGGCCCTTTGAAAAATTAAAAACGGCCGCACCAATATGGCGGCTTGAGTAGATGAAAAACTTATTGAAAACATTTAATTAATTGATCAAGTGGTTTAAAATTCATTGGATTTCCATGAAAATCGGTATCTCGGGAGTTTTCGAGTCACTCATGAACATTCCGTAGTCAGGTAATTCAGGAGATAAATAGGTAGTCAGGAAATAAAAATTAATTTCTTTTCCCATGAAAATAGGTATGTGGTATAGGTTTTCCAGGGTACATTTTTCGGCAAGATTCTGAAAAAAATGTACGAACAATTGGAAAATACATTCTTTCCGAGATCATGAATTTTCACGAATCTTTATTCCGAAAAATATGAGTTTCCGTGAAAATAATGATAGAAGAACAGTCTGTTATTGTCTGATATTGTTGAAAAATCATCTAGCACCCAACTTTTCGACTGCAACATTTTGCGAATTAATATTCTTCTTATTCTTGATTCTTTGTTGTTGTAATATCGTTTAACGTTATCTTTCACATTCCGTTTGAATATTACATGCGGTACAATTTAATCCACTTCTCGTTCGTCGAGATAGAAAGCTCTCTGCGTTTTAAAGGGTTAAGACTGTCTTCGAGTTTGGCTTATGACTTTTCAACAATGTCAAACAATAACAGACTGTTCTTCCATCATTATTTTCACGAAAACTCATATTTTTCGGAATAAAGATTCGTGAAAATTCATGATCTCGGAAAGAATGTATTTTCCAATTGCTCGTACATTTTTTTTTAGAATCTTGCCGAAACCCTGGAAAACCCCCACATACCTATTTTCATGGGAAAAGAAATTAATTTCGGATCACACGATTAAGAATCTAAGCGTTGCAGTCAATTCTTCATCCACCACAACCGCCATATTGAATCCACCATTTTCAATTTCGGACACCTGGCTACGGAATGTTCATGAGTGACCCGAAAACCCCCCAGATACCGATTTTCATGGAAATCGAATGAATTTTTAAACCACCTGATCAATGAATCAAATGTTTTCAATAAGTTTTTTTCATCTACTCAAGCCGCCATATTGGTGCGGCCGTTTTTAATTTTTCAAAAGGCCATGTTTTTCCTTAAACTACACATAAAAACGAGAAGTTTAAGTCCTCAAACGTCTTATTTTGACTTCATGAATTTTGCCCAGACACTTGTCCTACTTGACGTGGAATGTCCCATATGTAGTAAAGGGACTAAGATCTTAGAAAACACAACGGAGAGAAAACGGCTGAGCAGAGATAAAGTTTCTGCTTCTCTTTCTTGATTCCTTTGCGATCACTCGATCACTCGCATTATATTTTATGCATGCGCGAGCTACGGCGGCACTTGCGCGACGCGCAACGCGATTTAATACTCGCAGTGTCATCTGATAATCGAAACGGGGAACTGCGGTCTCTTTATCGACTGTAAGTATCGACGGTGCGTGCAGTTTCTCGAATCAAGTTATACGAAATCTCTCACGGATGGCATTTAACTGCTTTAGCAAAGAAGAAATTAAATGCCGTCGTGATGAAGCGCGATGACGGCAAATCCATTTAAGGTACAATTTTGCTCTTACGTCGTTTGCTCCAGACTGCGACGGGAACTCCTTTGGAGAGAAGGTAAAGGGAGACACGTAAGAAGGGGGCAGAGCGGTCTACTATAATAATTATAATATTTATTATCACAAACTAGGAGTTACATCGTACACAGTAATGTAAGAAAAGCCGTTCGCAAGTTTAACAATAATTTCCGTCCCTCCGTTGACTCGCCGTGCGATGAAGCCAATCGCGAGTTTCAGCGAGCGACGAGTCCGTGCAACTACGCTACGATTATCTAACAAACGGACAATTGGGATGCTTTTCACGCATAATTGCGTCTTGTCTCGGGTTATTTCGTAAAGAGGTGATTCGAAATCGTGCGGCCTGCTGGTGGAGGTCGATCCGAAGAAACGTCTCGTTCGCGCGAACGCTGAGATTTCCCCTCAGACCTCTCGTCGTTTCTACTTGTTGTATGCGATATGTCGTCGCGTCCGAAAGTTTACAAAGAAGGCACCGTTTTTGACATTGAATTATACACTTATAATTAGATAAAAATTATATTGCTTCTCATAAAACTACTATATACACTCACGACCTAATAATTACCGTGTAGATACTATAAAATTTATAAAATTCCTTTCGCGCCGTTTTCCTGATTCTTCTTCTTCATGATTCTTTTCTGTCCTTTTTTCTTGTCGCTTTCCGCTCTTGTCGTTCTTTTACGCGTGTTACAAATTGCTCGTATAATCATCCAAAAATCTCGTCGTAAAATATATTTGTATATAGTCATTGTATATAATCATTTATATATATTTATTTATAGATATGTTTGTATACGTCTGTGTATGTGTACGTATGTGTGTGTGTGTGTGTGTGTGTGTGTGTGTGTGTGTGTTTGTGTTTGTTTGTGATAAAAAATAGATGGTTGAAACTACAGCTCGCATGTGGCATCGTAATTCATTCTCGAGAACGTGTTCTTTGGAATGTAGCGACAATAGTCCGAACAATTTCAAAACGAATTTCCGATCGCGACACAGTCGCTGAATCAACAGATTGTTCAGGATGATTTTTTCTTTCTTCCTTTCGTTTCTCCTCTTACCGCGCGAAGAGCTCGCGACGAACTGTAGCTTCAACACGTAGCTGAATCGGAACTTGAAACATTCATTTTAACTCGATTAATTCGTTCTTCGTTTCCTTCTTCTCTTTTTTTTTCGCATTTTTCTCCTTTCTTGCTTGAACGTGAATTCACCGCGAACATTTGCATGCACGAAACAATAAAATTGCTGCGATCTGTCTAACGATTAAGAAAGAAAACGGATTCTTAAACAATAACAAGATATGCCGCACGCTGCTGAGAATCACATAAATGCTCGACGCGGACGGACGTCGTCCATGCTTCGATATTACGATCACCTTCGGGAAACCTTCGGGAAACCGTCGCAGACATCTGCTCTTAGCCGCGCTCGACAGTCGGCACTTGGTCGCTCGCAGCTCGAGTCATCGGTCATGTTTTAACACGTTCGTCACCAGCGTCTCACACATGCGTGACAGTGATAATTTCCCACCCTGTATATGCCCTACGTACACGAGCTAAGTCTGTTCTACGTCATTGTAACATTGAAAAAAAATCATACAAAGCGGGAAGAGTTCTTCCCAAAAGAGACTTAAACGTGAACACGTCCATGATGTCTTCGTCGCGAACGTGAAAATCAAAAACGGCTCGCGCGACGAAGCGCTCGTCGTCGTGCAAAGTGTTATCCCTCGGAAGGCCGGTGGGCTCCGTTCGTTGCTTGGTCCTCGTAGGTCCTAGGATCTACGTCACCAATGAATCTCGCCGCCCGCGTCGATCCGAAGCTTCGCGAAGCTAGCGTGTGCAAAAGTTCAAGTGCAGATGTCAAATTGTCCGTCGAGCTCGTCCCTCGCTTCCCCGATCGGTGGCGATCACCCGGTCAGCCTCAACGACGTGAAGAGCTCGACACTTCGATCGGCTCGTCGATTCCGCTTCGTCGTCACGGCGTGACCGCCGTGAGAAAATGAATATTCGCGTTAATTGCATGATTGAGTGTAAACCTGACGAGCAGCGCGGCGTCCCGAGAGCTCACGTGTCCAGGACCTGTGTTTTCAACTCGCAGACTCGATACGCTGTACAGTTAATAGGAAGTTTGGTCCGACAGTTTCGTTATTGACTGTGACTTGATCCCCGTTGACACCTCATCACATGTGAATGGTCGCGGCCGTGTAACGGGCCTCGCCTCGTCGCCAGCTCCATTGGCTCGGACGGTACTGAAAGGTCAAGCCCGAGATAGATGAGGTCAGTGGGGACGAGGAATTAATTACTCACGCGGTATTCAAGAGTCTCAACAGCGCGCGATGATGAGCGACACAAACCGACTAAGTAACTAACTAATATTTCATCGTCGGCAAAATCGGGCAACGAACGCGAGCAAACGATATTCCGATCGGCGATCAAAGTGACGCGAGTCAATGATGAAAAAAGCAATGAACAAGGAACGAGAAACCGCCAGTCGCGATCATGCGACGCGTTGTTGTTTGTCCTCTCTGCTAACTCGATTATTCTCCGAGCGATCTTTCTTACCCTTATCAGCATCTGACCCGATGCACTGTGGGGATTGCGATAAGCATATGCACCCCAGCCCACAAGGCCCACCACCAAAGCGATGACGGTGAGAATACCGATAATGCCGGAGACGCTCATGTTCATGTTGTCGCGTGCTGCGAACACAAGAATGGCGAGCCGCTCGGTAAAAGTGTGCCGCAGGAATCTACGTTTAACGACATCACTCCAGACATCCCGGAAGGAAACTAGACAAATATCGGCACTCGCGAACACTCGATATCAGGTGTGTGAATTAATTCGGTCCATCTGGCGGTCAATTGCTATGTAAATTTCTGACCTCTAATGTCTGCAAGAGGCTTTATTTTTTAGTTTTGACATCTGGCAATAATATTCAGTTGATAAACGTTTGGGTTTGTGACAATAACATCGTGTTTATCTGATGTCGAAAATGTCGAAATTCGAGCCAAAAAAGCATCATTTCCGGGAAGTTTTCATTTTCTGTTTTCATTTGAAGAAAACAGCCGCTGAAGCTCATCGAATGCTCGTAGAAACTTATGATGAAAGTGCTCCCACCGATAAATCATGCAGAGAATGGTTTCGACGTTTCAAAAGTGATGATTTCAGTGTCGATGACAAACTTCGTCCAGATCAGCCGAAGAAGTTCGAGGACGAGGAATTGCAGGCGCTAATCGATGAAGATCCGTGTCAATCGCAACATGAGCTCGCGCAATTGTTCAATGTTGATCGACCAACAATTTCTGTGCGTTTGGCAGCCATGGAAAGACTTACAAAGAAGGAAGGAAGATGGGTGCCATACGAAAGAACTGAAAGAAAGAGACATCGAGAGGCGAAAAGCCGTGTCTGAAATCGTGCTTGCCAGGCAAAAAAGAAAAGGTTTTTTGCATCGTATTGTGACTGGAGATGAAAAGTGGATATATTTCGAAAAATCCCGGAGGAAAATTCGATAAAACCGAGGAAATCCATTAGCGACCCAGGAAAACCACCCACATCGATACCACATCGATACAAGGCGAAATATTCACGGCAAGAAAGTAATGCTCTGTATATGGTGGGATCAGAAGGGTGTAGTGTATCATGAACTATTAAAACAGAGGCAAAGAGCCATCACTGCCGAACTTCACCAACAACAATTGATCCGTTTAAACAACGCATTGAAGAATAAGCGGCCGGAATATGCAAAGAGACACGACAAAGTGATCTTCCAGGCACGATAACGCTCGGCCACATGTTGGAAAGATTGTGAAGGTCACCTTGGAAGCACTTGGCTGGGACGTTTTACCTCACCCGCCGCCAGACATTGTTCCATCCGATTATCACTTGTTCAGATCGATGGCGCACGAGCTTTCGGACCAGCACTTCAACAATTACGAAGAAATAGAGAAGTGGCTGAATGAATGGATCGCTTCGAAGGACGAGTCGTTTTTCCGTCACGGACAATGCAACAACTGCCAGACAGATGGGAAAAAATAATAGCAAGCGATGGCAAATACTTTGATTAGTGTACTTTTTCATGTTTCTTCATACTAAAGTCTTTTTTTGGAAGAAAAAAACTGACCGAATTAATTCACACACCTAATATAATGCGCGAGCTCGGCTTTCTCGGGACGATAAAGCCAAGTGCCTTGAGTTCTGCCTTGAGATTCGCCGGACGCAAAGGACGGACTTACAGTTCTCCAATATATTCTTGCCTAATGTCTCCTGCTTCTCCTGCTTCCCGATCGTTTCAGTGACGACGTCCTCGGGATGCACGTGGTCGTATTCCTCGCCCTTGTAGGACTTTATGTGCTCCGGGCAGTTGTGCGACTCCTTGATGTTGCGCATGTCGCAGCCCTTCAGCACCCAATCCTGCCGCGAGCGGAAAGTACCGGTGCTGCACTGGTTCAGTTCCGGGCACCACTTGCAGTCGAAGTCCGACACTTTCGTCAGGCAGTCCCAACAGTTGTCTATGTCGAGGCAAGTGGGCAGCGCTTTCAGGTAGATGACCGTGCAGTTCATTATGTCCTGCCGGTTGAAGTTGACGCGGTGGTACTCGTAGATGGTTTTCCGCCGCACGACTGCGAAGCGAGACGGGCGAATTGAGAGTTCGCGTCGATAAGAAGTTAACGACGTTTTTGCACGTCGCCTCGCGGTCGAATCGACGTGCCGCGACGGACGCGCCGCGCCGCGCCGCCAAGCGGTGAGCCGAGGGAACGGGATCTTCGGACCTCGTACGATTTGAAATTTTGCCGAGCCAGCAGCTCCGTTTCCAGCGGCGCGATTCTTTAACTCGATATTGGAATTCACGACAGTTTCGTTATCGTTGCGCAGCTTTTTTACGGTTTTTACAAAAGCTGCGCAACGATAACGCAAGTGTCGTTAACTCCAATAACGAGTTACAGAATCGCACCGCAGGAACGGAATTTGGCTAGTGAGCATCGGAGATTCCGTCCGCTTCCAGCGATAACGCTTCGTCCATCGGCACGTTCGTCCAACCGACGATTCTCTCTCGGCGATAATAACGAACGAATAACGATACACGATATAAAGTAAATGTCTCAGTAACCGGACCGGTTCAAGTGCGGGTCGTCAAAGTTACAATATATACAATATATAATATTAAGAATAGTTTTCATATAAATATTTGCATTTACTCGTTTAAAACTTAAGATTCCCTCAAGTAGAGAAAAATGATTTAAACCAATGTACACAGGGTGTCTCATGTCACTAATGTTGCAGAGCTCGTGGAGGCATAGACCGGTTTAAGACAAACATACAAGCCCCATACCGTTTTGCGAGATTTGCAATAATTATCGAGTTATTAATGACAGGAATCTGAGGAGTAGGAGCGCGCCGACATAGATAAGACTGGAGAAGCGTTGCAGCCATTTCGACAAGAGCGCAGCCCAGTCGATCCAGAAACTGTTGCCGGTGCGCGGCAAGGGGAAGGACAACGTGTGGGGTTATTCGTTTTTTATCTCGCCACTCCTACGTTTCGCTGCATTCTGCCAATAATTGCTAGATCGATTGGGCCGTGCTATGGCCCGAGAGACTGCGACGTTTCTCCAATCATCCATTTCGCGCTCATTCGTCAGATTTCTGTCATTAATAATTCGATAATTATTGCGAGTCTCGCATAACAGTATAGGACTTTTATGTTTATCTTAACCTTTTAACTACTGAGATATTAAATGACCAGTATTGCTGACCCTCTTTGCTGAGTTACTTTTACAATTATAAAATATTTTATAATGATAAGAGATGGTATGCTATATGCCCGCTCAATTCAAATGCTTTTTACAAATTAAATTAAATGAGTATTACACATTGAAAGTCCAAATCGAGTAAACTCGATCGCAGCAAAGCCGCCATTTTTTTCCACACTCGAGTCGTCTCGACCGTAGCAGTTTAAAGGGTTAACCCGCTCTATGTTCCCACGAGCTTTGCAACATTAGTTATGAGACACCCTGTATCTATTATTAATGTATCTATTATTAATGAAATATTTATGTAAGTAATGAAGTAATGAAGAATGATATTAGTGTACCAGTGACCGGACAGTTGAAATAGATTAGGGTCCAACGTTCGGATATAATTTATCCCAGTGTCTGACCGCAATTAGAAAATGAGTATGCGCTAACAGAAAATAATATAAATATAGATGCTGTCTCCTGATGAATTTATCAACGATTGATCATTATTTTGCCAAATCATAGGTGCATACTTATTTAATTAATCTTTTAATTAGCCTTTTTAATTACTTTTTAATTTTATACAAATTTTATTTTAATACAAAAGTATCAAATTGGATACATTTTTTTCCAACTAATCGTCAGATATTGGAGTTTTTTTCTTACAATAATTATTATTTTCATTCATTATTGTTAAACAATAAATATTTTTGTTCAAAGTGGTCAAATACTGGGACGTTTACCTTAATCATCTCTCTTTCTCTTTCTACATGTATCCGCGTTGTCTTTCCTCTAGACACCGCGCGTCCAATAGCAATATCGCATTAGATCGCGAGCTGCGACTGACGGTCGTTTCCGCGCGAGGCTCGCCCGAGCGAATTCGTCTCAGCTACCTATTTCTCCGTCCGCTCGTGTCTGTCCACGTGTAAATTTTTCTATCGATTACGTGCGTGCATGTGTGTGTGTGTGTACGCGGTGCCTCGTCGGCGTCGCCGTCGCGAGCGATTGCGAAATTGAGTAGCACGCACGCCCGCCCGCGCGATAACGCGGACATTATAATATTCGCGATAACCGCCGCGATAATTGCGATAATTGCGCAACGCGCGGTTCCGGCCGGCCGGCCGGGACGAATCCGCGTTTGGCGTTTGAACGCGCGTGGCCAACTCACAGAACACGGTCCTGTCCATGATGTAGGCGTCGCTGAGGCCAACCTTGACAGGATGCATCTTGTCCTCGATCTGTTCGACCACCAGCGGTATGACCGAGTAGACGAACACGATGTCGCCGTTCTGATGCAAGGTCACTTGGAAAGTGAACGCGCCGGCTTCTGGCTTGTCCTGCAGCACCACCTTCTCCCACTCGACGGTAAACGCCGTGCCTGCCGGGTCATAAAGGGTATGTAACCGCCGTGCCTCTCCAGCGGCGAGTCCTTCCGACTCGGACCTCGCGCCGGCACGCGACTGTTTTGCGCCGTTTCTTTGCGCCAGCGCTCGCGGCGCGGCGGGTTATTACGCTCGTTAAATCGTCACGCCGCGGTTGGTTTAAATCCCCCCCGTGCTTAAGGCCACGAGACGCGAACACCGTCACGACACGGCTATGACTCGACATGAGAAAGGACCGGCCGGGCTAGGAAAGGAAGGGTCTTGCAAAGTTGCATCCTTTTTAGCGCCTAGCGGCTGGCTTTGGTCGTTTCGCCGGGTCGCACGAACGAGTCAGCAGAGTCAAGTCGAGTCGAGTCGAGTCGTAGCGTGATGTGCAGAGCACGGCGGCGGGATCGGCAGGGCGATCCCGACCGCGCGATCGCAGGAAACGCAAGGACGAGCGCGTCCTTGCGAGCGCGAGAACTACTAGCGCTTCTGAGCGCATCCGATGACTCACCGTTGTCGGCGTACTTGACGTAGCTGGCGTTCGACAGGCGGGTGTCGAAATTCGCCATGAGCGGTGCGATGTACTGGGTGGCCGCCAGCCAGCTGTGCACGTACTCGCCGGTGTAGAGGAAACCGCCGGTGGCGATTGTGATGTTGCGGACCTTATGCCCGTAGAACGGGAAGTCGAATTTCAGCTTGACGGTCTGCAAGGTGGAAAAGCGCGCAGCTCAGCATGTTTCGCGAATTCGCCACTGGAGTCGAACTCGGCGAGCCCAATGGCCGCGCGAAAAGGCGCTTGCGAAACGGACAATCGCTCGGCATCGCCCGTCGATCTTTCCGTCGCTCTCTAAAGTTCTCGGACTGAGAACGCGTAAAAATGCGCTCGAAGCGGCGGGGAAAATGCTGCCACTCGGAGTTGCGAGAGTGAATGTTTCACCCGTATACTTGGAGCGGGTATTCTTCACTACTGGATCGGTTCGCGCGAAAGTTTCTTTAAAGAATTAGAAAAAAATGTCTGCGATTTTGAACGTTCCGTCGGAAATGGCTCGTCGATCGACTAAAGTCGGTTCACTCCTGCGGAACGGACGGAGTTTGCAGGTTCGCTCCTCTCAACGTCGAGCGGAAATATTTACTTGCGAGCGATTCGGAGCGGAGAGTTGAAATCGAACTCGACTGCTTCTCGAGCGGAATTTCACTCGAAGGAATTCCGAAGATTCTGCTCGCTCGCCAGATCAGACGAGACGTGCGAGACGTGCGAGAGCGAAGCGAGTCGCTTACCGCAGCGCGTCGATGACTCTGGCTGAGAAGATGGTTGACTTTGAGCTCCGGATGATTGTCCATATCCACCCAATATTTCTTGCAGACGTTCGGGTCGATGATGAAGGTACTGTTGTAATACTTGTGCGTGTCGTAGACCGTCTTGGTGATGTTGTTCAGCGAGAGCGTGGTGTCGGTCACGTCGGAGAACTTGCTGATGGAAATGTCGCCGATGTCGCTCTCCGTCTTGTCGTCCTCCGTAGCGTCCTCCTTCACCGCCGGCGGTTCCACCGTCGTCGTCTGGTTCTTATCGTCGTCACCTTGCCATTCCTTGCCGCTCGTCGCGTTGCTCCACATCGTGCGATTGGCCCAGACGTGCGGTGGTACTGGCAGCTAACGATAAAGGCCTTGTTATTGTCTCAACTAGGGATATATATATTACTATATACTATACAGCATCGCGGTCCTTTGGAACTCGGAAACTTCGAATTTCCGGAGCTTGCAGGCATTATATTCGAATGACGAAGTTTCAAAGTGCGGATAGGCGAACATTTAGATACTTGAAACCTTGACAACTCGAAAATATGTGCACACTGATAGAAAAATATAGTTTAATTAACTATAATTTCACTATATTTTATAGTTCATTTTGACGTCAACCATATTTTTATAATTCGTGAAACCTGCAGAATATAGTAGAATAAACACAAATATGTAGTCAATGATTGTCTTAAATAATTGTTTAGTTACTCTTACCACATATATGGTAATTTCTCATTCACAAATATAGTGAGATTTAATATTCATACAGTTACATCTGTCATCATTTAGCAAATATTCTGGTAATATTGACTATATGAAAGAGTTACTTTACTTACCTACCATTTTATATTTGTATCCGTACAATAATTTTAGTTTAACTTACTATAATTCTTAGTAAAAATATTATATGGTTGGTTATATTATGCCTTAATCGTAATTATTACCGGTATTATGGTAATACTTACTATAAATATGATATTTCGAACTATAATTTAATTACTATATCATTATAGTTCCAAATATCATATACTTTTCTCTCAGTGTGTGTGTCAAATATTCTTCCCTATACTTTACACAGATTTTTCTTCAAATTTAAAGAAAGATCGTCCTATAAATTAAATGAATAAAAAACGCTCTAGTCTCTCGACTGTGCTCGTCACACCATTATGCAGATATAATTAGACAGAGAGAGAGGAGAGAGAGAGAGAGAGAGAGAGAGAGAGAGAGAGAGAGAGAGAGAGAGAGAGAGAGAGAGAGAGAGAGAGAGAGAGAGAGAGAGAGAGAGAGAGAGAGAGAGAGAGAGAGAGAGAGAGAGAGAGAGAGAGAGAGAGAGAGAGAGAGAGAGAGAGAGAGAGAGAGAGAGAGAAGAGAGAGAGAGAGAGAGAGAGAGAGAGAGAGAGAGAGAGAGAGAGAGAGAGAGAGAGAGAGAGAGAGAGAGAGAGAGAGAGAGAGAGAGAGAGAGAGAGAGAGAGAGAGAGAGAGAGAAGAGAGAGAGAGAGAGAGAGAGAGAGAGAGAGAGAGAGAGAGAGAGAGAAGAGAGAGAGAGAGAGAGAGAGAGAGAGAGAGAGAGAGAGAGAGAGAGAGAGAGAGAGAGAGAGAGAGAGAGAGAGAGAAGAGAGAGAGAGAGAGAGAGAGAGAGAGAGAGAGAGAGAGAGAGAGAGAGAGAGAGAGAGAGAGAGAGAGAGAGAGAGAAGGAGAGAGAGAGAGAGAGAGAGAGAGTACTGATCGTCTTTAACGATAACAACAACGAGCAACCATCAGCAAACCATCACGACAATGAAATTATATATATATATATATATATGCATAATAACGTAATTGTATAAATTTCCAGACGAGCACTCTCGACTCCATCGGCCGGCTGCACTCACCGCTCCCGGGGCTGCCACGCCGGCAGCCGGGTTCATCGGCTGCGACACCGTCACCTTCTTCTTGGGATCCGGCTTGACGTCGATGCTCCCGACAGGAGCTGCAGAAGCTACAGTGGAGGATCCGTCACGGGAGTAAGTAACGTCCGCGGGCGAGGTCGTCGTGCTCAGTACAGACGGCTGCTCCGGCGGTTGCTGTTGCTGCTGCGGCTTCTGTTCCGGCTGTTGCTGCGGCTGCGACGGCGGCTGTTTCTCCGACGGCGGCTGTGACTCCAACCGCAGGTGCTGCGATTGTTCCGTCAGATCCTTGCTTTCGTCCTTCTGCTCGGTCGTCACGACGGACTTGTCGGGCGTCGCCCGTCGCCTCCTCGCGAGCTGCGCATCCCCGTCGATCAGCTTGATGCTCGACGGCCGAAAATTGATCGACGACCTGCCGCTCGACACGGCGTAATAGTAGGCTGATCCATCTGAAACGGAGAAGCAAGCGAATGTTTGTCATCGTGCGCTCGATGAAGCAGCTGGAAGAGAAGCCCACGACGCGTGCAGCAGCGGGACTCTTCCGGGGATGAAGAAGAAGAAGAAGAAGAAGAAGAAGAAGAAGAAGAAGAAGAAGAAGAAGAAGAAGGAGAAGTAGAAGAAGAAGAAGAAGAAGAAGAAGAAGAAGAAGAAGAAGACGTCGACGGCGGCGGAGTGAATCTTCACTCTTCTTATCTAAGAAGATGTCGAGATATCTCATGCGGATTCTATGCGCGCGATCTCACCTATCTCGATTCGTCCTTGGGAGCTCGCGCAGCAATTACGATTGTACGCGACGGATTATTGAATGATGACTCGTATCAATCTACGAGACATGCGCGCGGCTGCGTGTGCATATTACGCGCGCATTGTCTCCGGTTCGCACAGGCCGTCGTCGATGCCGCTCCGAGGGGATCGGACGCCCATTTAGCCGGCGCGACGGTGCGCCTGCAACGGCCGGCCTGTCGCCGGTGTCCGAGATCCAGTGCCATGAAACGCTTATTAACCTCGATTTCTACGTTCGCGATAGCCGCGATCCGGATAATCGACGGTTCGCCGGCGAGAATAGATGTCACGGGACGAGACATCTCTTCGCGAGACATGACCCGCGTTCGATGCGATTCTCACCCTTATCCTCCGTCGCTGCATCGAGGACGATATCCGCGCCCAAGAGTCGTCGATTGTTTTTTTTTCGCACATACGCGGAGAAAAATATTTGGTCGCGAACGGAGCGATCTTCCGGTGGACGATTCGAAGTAGGGATGGGCTTCGTCAAACAAAAGCATCGTCTTCGATTTAATCGATTATTAAGAAAATCGTTTTTGCGTAATCGATATTTTCTTAATATTTCCGATCCAGATTAGGAAACCTGAATCTCGCTCTGCTGGAATCGCCCAGCGCTGCAGGGCGCGGATGCACGGGAGACACGAATCTTGTATTCGTGTCGCGGATTGGATAATAAACAATACTCAGAATTGAAGAACACTGAGACTAATTTCTATTATCTATACACTGGTAGAAAAATATAGTTGAATTAACTATAATCTCACTATATTTTGTAGTTCATTTTGGCGTCAACCATATTTTTATAGTTGGTGGAAACCTGCAAAATATAGTAGAATAAACACAAATGTATAGTCAATGATTGTCTTAAATAATTGTTTAGTTACTTTCACCACATATAATGGTAATTTCTCATTCACAAATATAATGAGATTTAATATTCATACAGTTACATCTGTCATCATTTAGCAAATATTCTGGTAATATTGACTATATAAAAGAGTTACTTTTACCTAGCATTTTATATTTGTATCCGTACAATAATTTTAGTTTAACTTACTATAATTCTTAGTAAAAATATTATATGGTTGGTTGTACTATGCCTATATCGTAATTATTACCGATATTATGGCAATACTTACTATAAATATGATATTTTGGACTATAATTTAGTTACTATATCATTATAGTTCCAAATATCATATACTTTTCTCTCAGTGTACTTATTTGTAATGAACGAACTAATTGAACTCGCCATCGCGAGGAGAGTCGACGACGACAACCGAATGCGTGATTTTTCTAAGAAACGGAATGTCCGAGCACGAGCCGCCGAACTGGTGGAGAGACGAACAACCACCAACCGTTCTTACAAAATCCAGTCAATATATAATTTTTGAATTCGAGCAAGAGTGGCACGCCCAGATTGGTTGGCATTCAAAACATTCGTCGATTCTCTCAGATTCTCGAATCTTCGACGTGAACCTATTGTTGCCAAAGCTCTTCGGCGGAGCGTGCTCTGAGTTGTGACCTTATTTTTGTCGACGACACAATCGAGATTGCTATTACGTTGCCGATTGTCAACAGGACGATCGATGGCGCGTATAGCGATAACGGCTAAACGCTGCTCCCGCGGAGCCTCACGATATACTCGAGACTTCCAGACGATTCCCTTGCCGAATAGTCTGGAAGCCTGCTGACAATTTTACTTTTAATTCTGAACACTTAAAAATATCGATAATAATCGACGTTTTCGATCGATATTTGCCCATCGCTAATTCGGAGGTTGCGGTTAAAGGAACGGAAATTCTGTCCGAGTCGATCGGGAATCTTGGCAATTTAGACATACATTCCAATAACTTGAAGCGAAATTTCTGTATCGTTCATGCCCGAGTAGAAAATTGCTTCACTCGAGCCAATATCTTTCCAAGTGTTTTCCGAACGCGACCCTAAAGAACGCTGACAAACAGATCTCTCGTGTAACGTACGAACAAACACGCGCGCGTTACCGGGGGGTGCCGGGTGTAATATAATATCTGTTTTTCCTGCGACTTTCCTTCACGCCGCTTCTTCACGCCGGCGGCGAGTTAAACGCGCGCTCGCGGCGACCGTGCAAAACCCGGATCGGGATCAAATCGGAGAATGAAATCTAATCGGACCGGGTCCGATGGTCAACAATCCCATCGCTACGCTGCGACGCGCGTAAAAGAGCAGCGCGCGTGTTTAGAGCACTCGGTGGAAGGAGAGGGGGAGGGAGGGAGGGAACGGGAAGTTAAGCGGCACGATCGACCGGATAGAGCAATAATTGGCGTCGATCCGACAAATCGTGCAAGCTTGACGTCAGTGCAAACGCAAGCCGGAACCAATCGACCGAGGGTCGTCTTCGGAGAGCCTCTCCCTTCGCCAGCCCCGGAAAACTTTCCCATCTCGACGCGTCGCCGGTGTTGTCCCGCTCGGCCGGGAAACTCGCAGGGAAAAGCGCGCGCTCCTCGCGAGCGACAGCCGTTCGGCTTGGTTCGCCCACGCCCAGCGCCCAGCGCCCAGCGCCCACGCGATGCTTAAATTGCTCTCGTCGCTCTCGTGCGCCAGGCCGCGGCCTTTCCGCGCGAAACGCGTCGCGAGGAGACAATTCGGCGATCCGCAGCTCCGAGACGATCGCCAGCGAGGAGAGCGCGAGTCGTGTCCAGCTGATGGCTGCTGGCGCGAAGGAAGGCGCTTCTAAATAGGGAGAGAGTAAAACGAGGGAGCGCGGGGCGGAGCGGAGAGCGCGAGGTCTTGAGCGCTTATGAGAGGGAAGGGGAGGGAGGGGAGAGGAGAAAAATGGGAAAACGCTGCTGTCGCGTTCTTTCCTCGCACTGCCGAGCCCCGCCTCTGGCACCGGCCGCGCGCCGCTCCGACGTTATTATTATATTTACGGCAATTATCGCGCGCGGAGGTCGCACAGCAGGAAATTGCACGCTCTCGCGCAGGCTGGAGCTTGCGACATGCGCCAGAAATATTTGTCTTGCCCACCGACGACGACGACGACGTTCAATTCCGTCCGCCTCGAGCTCCGCTCTCGCGCTCACGCGCGAGTCCGCTCGCTCCTTTGTTCTCTCTCCGCGCTAATAATACTCGCGCTCAGCGAGGCAGCGGAGGAGCGTCGTGGGCACGACGCGACGTCCCGTCCCGGTTGCGGCGCTCGCGCGCGCGCGCGACGATATTCGCGTCCCGAACTCCAGCGAGTAAGGACGCGCGAGTCGTCACGGCCGCACCAGCTGCGAGGCTCCGTGACGAGGCCGCGTATCTCACGCGATGCAGCCTGTCGATCGATACATCGGTCCGACCGAGTCTCGACGTCTCGAACCGCCTAATTCAAATGCGAGCCGGGTGAGAGAAAGAGAGAGCGTCTTGGCGGGTTTATATTTAGGCGGAGCGGGTGAAAAATACCATCACTTGGACGCCGCGAAGAAGCGGCCACGAGCGGACGCGAGGGTGCGACGTGAAAAAGAGAAGAGGAGAGAGAGAGAGAGAGAGAGAGAGAGAGGTATGGCGGGGAGGGAGGGACTACGAAGCGAGCGGAGAAATATCGCGGGAGCGGAGTGGCGTCCCGCGATTTTTACACGCTCATCTGAGACCGCGCGATACGTGACCGGATTTGTTTTTTTTTTCTTTCTCCCGCCGGCTCCTCCGATGAGGGAAGCTTCGTTGCGACTCGGTTAAAAAGTGCCACGGACAATTAGCTTTATCGCTGGTAAATATATATCGCGTCCACGTCCCTGTTACCATTAACCCGATTATCCGAATTATCGTGCAGAAACATGTCGCTCGCGTGTTGACGAGCCTCGCCGCGGCGCGGCGGCTCCATCAGCGGTCTCGAAGGAAACGCTTCTTTGTCGCAGCTCGTTCTCACGAGATGGAAATCAAGCGGGACCTTGCACTGATAGAAAAATATAGTTGAATTAACTATAATCTCACTATATTTTATAGTTCATTTTGGCGTCAACCATATTTTTATAGTTCGTGGAAACCTGCAAAATATAGTAGAATAAACACAAATATATAGTCAATGATTGTCTTAAATAATTGTTTAGTTATTTTTACCACATATATGGTAATATATGTAATTTCTCATTCACAAATATAGTGAGATTTAATATTCGTATAGTTACATCTGTCATCATTTAGCAAATATTCTGGTAATATTGACTATATGAAAGAGTTACTTTACCTACCATTTTATATTTGTATCCGTACAACAATTTTAGTTTAACTTACTATAATTCTTAGTAAAAGTATCATATGGTTGGCTATACTACGCCTATATTGTAATTATTACCGATATTATGGTAATACTTACTATAAATATGATATTTCGGACTATAATTTAGTTACTATATCATTATAGTTCCAAATATCATATACTTTTCTCTCAGTGTGGTGCGTCGATTAGCGCAGAATTCCCGATAAATGAGCATTTAGCGGACGGCCGCGCGGATTAGCGTTCTTCGATTTGCATCATCATCCTCCTCCTCCTCCTCCTCCTCGCGAGCGAAAGGCAAGGAGCGAGCGGCGAGGTAGGAATTCTAACGAAGGAAAAAGCTCGCCGAGGAAAGAATGTCCTCCGTCGCGGTTCTTATACGCGTGGAAGAGACTTCGCGGGGGGGGCGGGATCTTCGCGAGTCATCTGAGG